ATTTGTATGATATTCTTAAATAAAGAAAATATATTCATGGTATTTTAGTTTTTAAAATAAGACATTTTTCCGAATTCCCTAATCCTTATTGAAATGAAAATATGCTTTATGTGTTAAATTTGAATTCAAATGAAATTTACCAAGCTAAGTTAGTTTAATCCTTAGTTAACTATTTATAAAAAAAAAAAACCCTTAGTTAACTGACCTTCAATTACACTCCTTGGTGTCATGACTATTCAAAAAAAAAAAAAAAATCATGACGAGAATGATGAAGTAAATTAAATAAAAAATTGGAGTTTTCATAAAACTTCATTAGTAATTAATAATATGAAAAAGAAAAACGTTTTATACATTAATAAAACCAACTATGGACCCAAAGGACTTATTATGTGCATGAATGTCGATCCAAATTAAATAAGAGAGTCACCGGCTTTTTTTTTGGATGGGCTGAAAAGTAGGCCACACCTACTTTTATTGAACTAACCACATGAGTTGCGAACATTGATACATGGGCTATTAGGAAAGGTTTTGGGATTGGGCTTTTTTTTTTCAACTGTATTATGTATATTTTAGTATTTTTAGTTAGGGTACGATGTTTGGATGTTTGTCCTTTTAAAAGAAATAAAATTATATTATTTTAAGTGAGAAAAAATACAAGTAAAAAAAATTATGGGAGATAAAATGGGTTATTTTTTAAATTTAAATTTAAATAAAAAATAATATATTGTGTTTTTTAACTTAAAATGACACAACTATATATCTTTAAAAGAATAAATATTTTTCGCTTTTAGTTATTAACTTCGGCCAAACAATAGATGAGAAAACACTTTAAAATGTAATTAAATAATTCCTTATTTATTTTTTTATCATCTTTATTAAAAATACATATATTAAGAATATTAAAATACATTATCAAAGAGATTTAAAATTTCAGGAAACAAAATGAAATAAGATAAGTGGATATATATAATAGCATATTCTAATAATAAATTTTACGCCAAATATTGATTTTCTTATGTCTAAAAGTTCAAATATTTAATAGATCAGAACCATTAAAAACAAATAAAATCTACAATCCAGATTGTGAATCTAATTGATACCGATATAAATGATCACGACCGTATATACAAAATTTGATCTTATCACAGCCGGTCGTATTGCAAAAATAATGTATGTTTTTTTTTTAAATAAAAAAAAAAACACTCGCATTTCAATTGTCATACGTTAAAAGGGACGTTGAATAATACCAAAAAAAAAAAGAAAAGCGACGTTATATACTTCTGAACGGAATAGTCTCATTTAAATAATCTGGAATATTGGGAAGGAAAAAAAAAAAACATGGTACATAGTATAGTATCCACACAAAAAAATGGCACATAGATTATTGATTGAGATCACACGCGTATGTAGAGCCAAACAAAGGGTAGCATCTAGAATGAGATTTTAGCAAAAGAACATAGCAATAAGGAAAGAAGAAAAGTGGCTTTCAAGACCAAAATAATTGAAGGATGAAAACACCTAGTCCCAATCAATCATTTCTACTTTATTGTGTTAATATGAATGAATGTAACAAAACAAGACCCTACGTTTGAACATTGCACCAGAGACTCAGTCAATGACATTGTGTTCTTCGAGTCAGTCAATGACATCCCGTTTGTGTCATTTTCCGTTCTATTGTCACTTCCGCGACCCCAGACATGCACTTAATCCAGATTTCACACGTTTCCCACTTTTCGAAAGAAAATAACTTAAATTGTTTTCTTATCCTGTGCAAAAACAATTGATTTTTTTTTTTTTTTTGTACATAAAATAGTTGAATTTAATCAATAAAAAAAAGGCACACGGACAATTCATACACGCAACTAAAAACGCAAAGATAGCACTGCATCAGAAGTCTTGACTCTACTTGAAGCCATATCCCCTGAATGAGAGTTTACATATATTTGCCTAAAGTGAGAATCGAACCCAAATTACAATATGGGCGGAAATTTAGACCAAAATGTTTATCCTCCAGAGTGGGTTTGGAGGACTCTTTATGTAGTCTACTTATATTAAAATATCATTTTATTATTTGCATGTATTAATTTGAGCATCTTTGCAGGTGAATTATTAGCTCACCGTAATATATGGAGTAGCAACCAATCAAGTTCATCAGAAAAAAAAAAATCAATCCATTTGGACTGATTATTACTCCTATTATCTTTTTTTAATTAATATTATGTTAATTTTTTAAATCTTATGACCTAATTATTCCTTTAAGACAGTGTATAAAAACCCGGCCCGACCATCAACCCGGCCGAGGTCAGGAGTCACAGGTTCAACCGGGAGATCAAGGGCCACTATGCTGACCCGGATTATATATTAAAAAAAATATAAGTATATGCATCTTATATGAAAATATTAAAAAACAAACCACCAATCATCAAAGATTCAAAATATATTTAACATAATTCACCAATTACAACCACAAGTCAATATTACATAACCTAATTAAAGTATCAAGATACTAAAGTACAAAACTCATTCTAATTGGGTCACTACACTGACCCAGTTCTACTTCTTTTGAGAAGATCCCTGACAAAGAAAAATTTAAAGGAAGTAAGAATGAGTTTTTATTTTTCATCGACGATCGTAAGGTTTTCATTGGAATTGATAAAATTCTTATCTTTTCTAGAAGATTCACAGCAGCGAGGTGAAGATTGAAGACGTCTAGGTCGCTGGGAGAGAAGAAAACGATTAGATTTAGGTTTGCAAGTATTTTTTTTTTAATAAAACAATGTTGTTTCGTGGAATTTTTTGTAAATAAAAAAACATGCAGTGACCCCCTTTGATCCTTCTGACCCGGGAGTCACTGAAATTCGGCCGAGTTTTGGAAGTCGGAGGGGTTGATATGCATAAAGGGTCCAACTTGACCCCAATTCTTAGAGGGGAGAGGTCAGGGTTGACCCGGGTCAACTCGAAATGCGAGGTGGAGTTTTAAAACACTCCTTTAAGAGTGAGATTGTTATGACTTAAATAGAAAAAGTGACCTTCACAACATAAAACTAATTTCGAGCTAAGTGATGTCTAATTCCGAATTTTTGAACCATGCTCTCTTGTTAATTCATCCTTAATATAGACCCATGGTAGTATTTGAGTCAACCATTTAATGTGATTTTTTTATGGTTATTGTTAGGGTTTAAAGTTTTTCATATCGTTAAAGATAAAATTATTTCTTACACGTATAAAAATATAAAAATATGATAATTTCAAAAAAAAATCTCTTCTTTTCCAAATAACATGTCTAACTTTTTTTATTATTATTATTAGAGAAATAACATGTCTAACTTTAAATCCTTATTGTTATTACTACGCCTTGCACACCATGTGAATTATGATAGATAAGAGTGAGGGGTTGATGGAGCCATTTATTCATAATTCATACAGAAATATAGAAGGGCTGAAATCAAGGAAAGCAATCGTTGTCGGACCACGTAGATTTGCGCGTAGGATATTGCCACGTCACTCATTATCTTTCAAACTTTCCACTTGGCCACTTGTTGCCTAACATGATCCCATATGGAACACTCGTCCTTCCTACTGAAAATAAAATCTTACGTATTTATTCAAAAGTTAACACAATCTTATCTTGTATAGTTAATTATTGTATCACATTATATTTTTAATTAAGTATACATGTTAGTTTATGGTATATAAGATATTATTATAATTTAAATTATTAGAGATCTGGGTTGTTTGTATGAGGGTATAAATTCAAATCTCATTGTCATTATTGTATATAAAAAAGATATTATTGTAGTTTATTGATAAGTTTGAAGTTTTTTATATCTAGGAGATAAAATTATCTCATTCACACATATAAAAATGTATGATGTATAATTTTTTTCTTTTTCTCTCTTATTCTTACATGACCTTAATAGACCTCACATATATATATATGAGATAATTTTATTATCTTCTATAACCCGAAAAACTTTTAACCCTTTATTAAGACGAGAGACCTTTACCACTCCCTAAATAAAAAGTTAACAGCTTTTTCTTTAGTGGAAAACTTGATTAGATTGCGCCTTTGCTGCATGGAGACAGCTTTCGTCCTTTGGATTATTTTTTTAACAAGTACTATTAATATAAAAATTGATTTCATTATAAATATTATATGTCAACAAGAATTAACTATATATGATACCAAGCATAAGTATAATTAAGTTTATGTAAGCAATGCTCTTAAAAAACTAATACTTATTTTGTTATCCTTTCATGCATTTACGGATAAAGATGCAATTATGTAGAGTAAAATTATTATTACGATTATCAAAATTACATATTTTTTTAATATTTGTTTACATTAGAGAATACAACTACTTAGGTTGGAGGGAAAAATATGTGTTCTACGTCAGATTTTAATTTTAAAAATTAAGATTGGTTCGAATGGTAAAAGACTGTTTTTTCTTAATCAAAGGTTTCAAGTTCGAGATAATTATTTGGATCAGACAATATTTAAATCAAAATAATCAAATAATTAATCACATATGAAAAATAATAATAAATATTAAATCAAACAAGAAAATATTAAGTCGGTAAACAAAATGTTTTATAGTCAAGTTTGCACAACAAATATTATGGGATTTGACCAATTTATGGTTGCTTTTCTGTGACTTTTGTTTGCATTAAAAGCGTGGCAACTTAAAATTGATGTCCTCTTTGAAAATTCTACGTGTAAGGACACAAGTGGGCACAGTGCTGTGCCACAATTCCTCAATGTTTGTCACATGGTGATTCACCAATCATCATCGCCTTGCTCTTCTGCAACACAAACCGCGAAAAGAAAAATCAAACTTGAAAAGGTACTCTAATTCGAGGAAACTTCTATCCACAAACTGACAATCATTTTGTTTGCAGTTGATTTGATATTTACCAAAAAGAAAAAAAGAAAAAAAACTAGACTCATGAGTGGTAATAAAGCTCCATCATAACATAACTACCATAAACACACCCACCATTTTTTTGAAACACTTAAACACTGTTCTTCAGTTCACCACCTTCCAAAACCCAAACGCATTAAATAACAGTCCGGTGAGTTTGAAAGTGTGTGATGACTAGTGGCAGTTGGAGCCCATAGCATAACCACTCACTTCCCTCATTAATGTTTTCCCTGAATCCTATCCATTCTATAAAAGAGGCAGATACCCATTTAATGTTTTGTTACACAAACTTTACCTCAATTCCAAAAATACCATCTTCTTTTACAAAACACACTCCACTCAACTTTACATTCAACCTTAAACATGTCTAACGTTGTGTTTCATCGCAAAGAAAACAAAAAAACCAAGACAGAGACATATTCCTCTAAATTAGAACGTTAATGGAACCTTTTTGTAGATTGGGTCAGGGTTTAGAAGAAACAGCAGCAGCAGCAGCAGCACCAAGTGCAGAATCAGAGCTTGTCATTGGAGGTAAAAAAAGAAGAAGAAAAATTTAATTTTTTTTTTATGGGTTATATGCCAAATTTTGCTAAATTCAAATGAAATTGCAGAGAGTAACGTGAACTCGAGTTTCTGAGTGTGAATCATTAGGCATGGGATTGCAGCGAGGATTGGCACTTAGTGCGGTTATAATGTTGCTGTTGGTACAGTTAACGATGGGTTTAAGTTCTGAAACCGAATGGGTTGCGTTATTTAAGCTTCGTTCTTCGTTGGGGATAAGGGGAAAGGAATGGCCCTTAAAAGCCGAACCGTGCCTGAACTGGACCGGGGTTCGGTGCCGGAACGGTCGAGTCGTTGGGATAAACGTGACCGGTTTGAAGCGAACCCGAACCGGTCGTCTTCACCCGAACTTCGAAGTGGATTCCCTTACCAATTTAACACTATTGGAGTCTTTCAACGCTTCTGGGTTCATGCTCAATGGGTCAATTCCCGAGTGGTTTGGTCAGAGCCTTGGTGCACTCCAAGTGCTTGATCTAAGGTCTTGTTCCATAACGGGTGTGATTCCTGATTCACTTGGGGGTTTGAGTGTGTTGAAGTCTTTGTTCCTTTCAGGGAATAGTCTTACTGGTAGAATGCCTCCAACATTGGGATTGTTATCTGGGTTATCTGTTCTTGACCTCTCTAGGAACTCGCTTTCAGGAACAGTGCCTAACTCTTTGTCTAAACTTGGTAACCTTACAAGGCTTGATCTTTCTTCTAATTTCTTATCTGGGTCTATTCCACATGAACTGGGTGGCCTTTCAAATCTCCAAATTCTGAACCTTTCTAATAGTGCCCTCACTGCTTCTGTTCCCCCTCAACTGGGTAACCTTTCCAAGTTGGTTGAGCTTGACCTTAGCATGAATTTTCTGTCTGGGTCATTGCCGGGTAGTTTGTTTTCTTCTACCCTTGTTGCCCTTCAAGTTCTCATTCTCAGTGAGAATTTATTTCATGGTTCTCTTCCTGCTAAGATGTGGTCAATGCCCAGCTTGCACTTTCTTGATGTATCCAGCAACAATCTCACTGGTCCACTGCCAAAGTTCTCTAATAACGTTAGTTCTACTGGTGCCATATTCAATCTCTCAAACAATTTGTTCTATGGATCTCTGTCTCTGAATACTTCGTTGAACAAGTTTAAAATGATTGATTTGTCTGGTAATTATTTACAAGGTGAGGTGCCAGGTGGTGGTCTTAGTAATGTAACTCTAGCTAGAAATTGCCTACAGATGATTTCAAACCAGAGGGGTTTGGAAGATTGTAGACTGTTTTACGTTCGGAGAAATTTACACTTTGATCCTGGTGAGCAAGAACCAATTCAACCCCCATTCCTAGGAAAGTCCAGGAGCAACAAATCAGTTATATTTATACTGGCAGGTATATTTGGTGGGCTTGGCTTAACTGTGCTTCTGGTATTGGTCCTCTTACTGGTTCTAAAACAATGTCATAAACATAATAGCTTGGTGATTCAAAGGGGGACCGTAGAAGGGGGACCTGTTCCAGATGGGGGAAGACCTACTCCTCCTAAGGATCCTGTCTTTGTAACTGGAGTGGGAGAATCATTTACTTTTGAGCAAATTGTTCGTTTGACTGGCAATTTTTCTGAAGCAAATATCATAAAGCATGGTCGTTCTGGAGACCTCTACTGGGGAGTCTTGGAAAGTGGAGCAACTGTGGTTGTCAAAAAGGTAGATTTGAATTTATTTAAGAGAGAATCATACATTGTGGAATTGGGATTATTAAGCAAGGTTTCACATGCAAGATTGGTCCCAATCCTGGGACAGTGCTTGGAGAATGAGAATGAGAAATGTATAGTTTACAAGTATATGCCAAATGGAGATTTGGCTACTTCATTGCACAAAGTCACTAGTTCAGATGGTAAATTACAGTCCCTGGATTGGATCACGAGATTGAAAATTGCAATAGGAGCTGCTGAAGGCCTAGCTTACCTACACGAGTGTAGCCCTCCCCTTGTTCACAGGTAATAACAAGCGCAACCTAGATTGTTAGGGTTCTCTCAACATGATTGGAAAAAATATGATATGTCACGGAATTGAATTTGTTAGAAACATCATTGCATTTATTTTGTCAAAACATGCTGCATGCTCAATTTTTTTCAGCATGGTGATATCTTAAGATTGAATTTGTTAGTGATATCTTTTACTTTACAGTTGTATCGAGTTACATTTTATGTTCCTTGTCAACAATGTGTAAAATGTGGAGGTCTGTGAGAACTTTTGCAGTTCTTCAAATTACTGAAATTTTACTTTTGATTTTTTTCTTTTTGAAGAGATGTCCAAGCTAGCAGTATACTTCTTGATGATAAATTTGAAGTGAGACTTGGAAGTTTGAGTGAGGTTACTGCCCAAGAAGATCTTCATCAGAATGTCATCTCAAGACTTTTCAGCAAGCCACCGTAAGTTTTGAATTCATCAACAATGGCAACATGATAAAGCATAGCTGTTTTATTATAAATGAAAATTAAAGGACAAGTGATTCTATGATGATATGCAAACATGTTCATATTTATTTTCAAAAAAAAGTGGTAACCAACTGTTTTTTTTTCCCTTGTGATTTTGCAGATCTTCTAATCAAGTCAACTCTGGTGAGTAATTCGGTTTAAATTTTACACATTTATAGTTAGTTTTTATCCTATTATTGATCCATGCATCCATTCAAGTACAGTACTCGTTTTATCCCTAGAAAACGTTGGTGATCTCCTACATATGTTAGCACAGAGAAAGGGCATGCATACTTACATATTTAACGTTATAACCTTTCTGTTGTTTTAAACTGTTACTGGAGAAATCATAAGTGTTTTCTTTTTGCCCTGTGGTAATGAACAGGTACATCATCTGTGACATGCGCCGACGATGTCTACTGTTTTGGGAAGATTTTACTCGAGCTAGTTACTGGTAATCTTCATGTCAGCAAATCAGATGATGCCGCCGCAAAAGAGTGGTTAGAGCAAACCCTGTCTTACATAAGCATATATGATAAAGAACGTGTGACTAAGATTGTTGATCCATCTTTGATCGTGGATGAGGACCTATTGGATGAGGTATGGGCTATGGCAATTGTGGCCATGTCATGTCTGAATCCCAAGCCTTCCAAGCGTCCTCCTATGAGATATGTCCTCAAAGCATTGGAAAATCCATTGAAGATTGTGAGAGAAGAAAATCCTAGCTCGGCAAGGTTGAGAACAACCTCATCTAGGAGATCTTGGAGCACTGCATTCTTTGGTAGTTGGAGACACAGTTCATCAGAGAGTGCTACTGCCACAGGGAATGCAAACAAGGAGGGTACTAGTGGCTTTAAACAATCAGGAAGAGTAGGTTCTCAAGGTAGTACTGGAAATGATCACTCATCTTCCAATAAAAGATCATCCAATGAAATTTTCCCTGAACCATTGGATATGCAAGATGTAGAGACTGGAGAGGCAAGATGAGCACTTAGGAAATGGATTTTGTTATTCTTTAATGGGTTTGATTTTTCTCATGTTGCGTGAGATAATTTATCTCATGCAACACAAAAAAGTGAGGAGGACCCACTTTGAAGAAGAGAGAGAAAGGAAAAAGATGGGTTCCACCCACTTTTTTATGTGTTGCATGAGATAATTTGTCTCATGCAACATGAGAAACACATTTCCCTTCTTTAATTAGTGATGTTATTCGCAAGTCAAGCACATTGCCCTGCATTCATTATGGTTCATCACTGCCATGGTGCAGCAATGAAAAGCCATACTAATGTTAGTGGTAGCTCTTGCTTTCTAAAGCAGATTAAGCAGTACGCATTGAAATGTGGTATATAGAGAGCTCCAATAAAAATGAGTAATTTTAGTCATTCAACTGATTTGTTTAAAACACACCCCCCCACCCCTCCCTTTAGGTCATTAAATGTGTGATAGATTGTAACATAGTGATTTCATTTTTTGAAGAATTCGAAGTGGGGAAAAACATTGAACTACTAAAATTTCTCATTGTGGGTTGGTGATATGTAAGTAAGCATTGTAAGTCTTCTTGAGCTTTGTAGCATATATTATCTTGGAATGGAGTAACTTTCTTTCTTTACCTTTTTGCGCAATAAAAAAATGGTTAATTGTAGTTAGTTAACTCCATTAACTAATTCATTAGGGTGGCTCATTAGGTAGTACTACATTGGTTAGAAACATAACTTTTACTGTTCAATAAATTTCGCCTTTTTTTTCATCTAATCATTCTTCTTGAAATTCTGTCATCTCTACCATGTTTCTCGACACAAGTCTTTTGGAACTTTGGGGCTTATAACAGCATAACTTTCCTTTCCAAACTTTTGTGTATCAAGGAAAGAAAAATAAAAATAAAAAACATCGCATTACGTATAGACATAGTTCAAGGCTTTAAGCTTGATCAGTCTAATACCAAATGGACAGACTCTAATCACACGCGATTGAAGGTAGAGGATATTGAGAAGAGAAGAAAAGATTAATGAGATGTTGCCAAGATGCTTGGAAGCTTAACGAGATGAGGTTGTATGATGCGATATGGTTGGGCAGTGTTTGTGCTTCTTTGGTCTGTATGAGAGCGACGGGAGGTACCTTGAAAGACACTCCAACGCTCAAGTAAGTTTAATATCCAACGAAGTTCAAATATTCAGAGAGATATCATATTCGGGCCAATGACATCTGTATTTATAGTGCTTGAGCGATGTGTTTATCATTGTCTTTCGTGAGACAATGTCCATGTTGATTGGTGAAGAGGGATGACTTTTATTAGACTATTCCTTGATGGGCAAGCCTATGTTTTGAATAGATTCTGTAGCAATGGCAGCAAGCAAGAGCTGCCATACTTTCACTGGTTCTCGTTTATAGCCAACTTAGCTGTTGATTTTGGCAATTATGGTTCCTGTCAGTTTAAGTTATATTGGCTTGGTGGCTAAGTCATGATCGAGATCCCTACCTCTCATAGCGAGATGGATTACCTTTGCAGCTATTTCGCATGAGCGAAGGAGGCCTTTTGGGCCTTGGTACAAATGGGTCTCTTTCCCATATATAATACCTCCGGATCAAAGCTTAACCTCTTGCCATGGGTTTTCTAACATTATATATAAGATTAAATAGATTACTATAAAATTACATAACTTTGATAGTATACATGGGTAGCAGTCCAACACAGCTCCCCCTCCCCCTCTCCAAAAAAAGTAGTCTAACAAATTGATATCCGCTACATACAAAAAAGGATTTATATTTTAAGAAAAAACAGATTTCACTAAACTTATATTCTATGAGAATTATATGATCCACCGCAAGAAATTCACTATATACATCTGAAACAAAACAATTATTAATTTTGCCTTAAATTGTTATTAATAAGTTATCTGTTTGTATCTTTTATAAGTTCATTAAGATTGAATGGCTATCCTGAGATAGGGCAACAACCAAGCCTAGCCCTTAATTTTTATTTACCAATGATAAAATGAAGCAATTATTAAGACATTAATAAAGCCATAATTATAAAAATAAAACTTCGAATAATGTTTGAAGTCAAAGCGAGAAAAACAGGATCATTTCAGCCCCACTATATGCCCGCTGATCTCCGAGTTCTTACATTAGTTGCAGAGTCCATATTACATTTTCCTAGTCAGTTCAGGACAATAATTTAACACCACTTCAATTCAACGAAAGATTTTTATTTTATTTTTTTAATAGTACAATCATACGAATAACACAATCTCTTTTATGAAAATCTTATTACCATTATTTTACAGAAATGTTATTTCTTATATTGCATCAGATAAATTATGCAACATATAAAAATTAGGTGGGACCTATTAAGGGGAATAGCGAGAAAGAAAACAAATTAGGTCCGCTCATTTTTGTGTGTATAAGAAACAATATTCTCTTTTATATAGATAATAAAATTCCTTTATTTAATTGAACCTAAGCAAGCATGACAACATCAAATTTATGGATATATGATATACTTAAAAAAGTTTCTGGCTAGCTAAACAAGATTAAAAGAGAACCACAGTTGCTACAGCCCAGCAGCATTGTCTAAGAAGAAAGGAGGTTGGATTCCATTGTTTCCATAATTGCTACTGTGTAGCGCCATAGACATTCCATAAAGTACCGGACAAAGCTAATGCTAAAATCTGATAAGCATCTACTTTTTTTACCTTCTATAACAGACGTTCAAAACCTCTTCTGACACTAATATTACTTTTTTAAGGAACCCGGGGGCAGTAGCATAGTTCAGTCTTCCAAAATGCCAAATTCATGCTGCATAAAATCTTCACTGGGTCTGTAGTACTTGTCTGAAGAGAACAAGCCCAAGTTAGATACTTGGCTAGTATAAAGGCAAGCAAATCTCTCAACCTGCACCATGCACATTACACAAGTTCATTAAACGAATTACTATTCAGTGAGGTCAATTTGATACTATTATGATTTGGGGTAAAAAAAACACTATATTTAGATGCATGGTCACCAACATGTGCTTTTATTCCCTGGTATGATATTTGAGGCATAACTTAGAAGGATACTAATACTATGCTATTTGACAACACTAGCACAACGCCCTACCAGCCATCCTGTTTTATAGTGTGAAAATATACACCAAAGGTAATGTTGTACAGTACCAAAGAGAATCAACTTTTACCTGATGAGCAAAGCGAGAGTTCTGATAACCAGTCTTCATCAGCTGGCCCCATGGCTCGTGAAACTGCAATGGTTTATTTCAAACAATCATTATCTCATGTACAAAGTAAATTGAATATACGGCAAGTGTACCAGACTATTTAAGAGAACTAGAGATAATAGAAAAGGGCTACAGGTTTCCTACCTTTTGGTGTAATTTTCTTTGAGCTTCTTGATGACTTAATCGCACACTCTCTCTTTCAAGCTGACAAAAAAATTAGCAACTTAAAAACAGATGTCCATAATTGGAGTTCTATGAAAGACATGAGAAACGAGGACGGAGCAATGGAACTAAAAGGCCAAACCTTCAATGTATCAAGTTTTGAATTTAACATCCCCTTTGCATCGTCATCTGGATTCTTGAAACTGCAAAATTGTAAACTACACTGTAAGACTGCAATCAGATAATAAGACATGACATCAGGTCCAGAGTAATACTAACTTGAGAGACTGGCTCAAATTATGAATTTCATCCTCAATACGATCACGCTCGCTCCTCAGGAATTGAAGTTCCTGCACAAAGCTACTCAAGTAAGAGTCTTAACCCAAACGTGTATTGGCTTGTCAGGTGTTTATTGAGAAAGAATGCAAAAGCGCACTTCATTAAAAATGTCAGAAGCCCACGTGATATCTTTTCTGCATGAAATAAAACCTATTCTTTCTATTATTTCCTTTTCTATTCTTAGGAAGCTGAGCTTTATCATATTAAAACAAAAATCAAAGATAATAAAATATATTAGCACCTTGCGAGAATCCCTCAACTTCCAGAGGAGTTCAACCTCCTTCTCAAGCTCTGGGATCACCAACATTGTTCTCCAACCTGCTCATGAACACATTGAATCATAATCAAAGTTACTTAAAAGGAGAATCAACAAATATACATGATTTTAAAAGAATGGAGTTATTATTTCCGCACACAAAAAAGCATAACTTGGACTCGTTTATTAAAGCTTCCATCAATGCCTTTTTTTTTTTTTTTTTTCCAGCCACCTTTACTCCGTCATAAGATTATAACCACAGATAAGCCCAAGTTTACTGGTAGCTAGATAGGATTCAAACGCACAATCTATCTAATCGAAGCTTGATAAGGATTAATATAATATACCAAGAGCCTTTTTGCTGCGTAGTATATCTCCATATATGTGATCCCCAACATATAGAACCTACAAGTTTAAAGAAAGCTTCAGGTTAGAATTCCTAAATCAACAACTATCATGTTTTGCATAAAACCAATAAGCTCTTCAAACCTGAAACACGATTCCCAAAGAAATTTACTATTTATGCTACCAATATATGTTTTCATAAAAGAAAATCAATACCTGTGAACTTGATTCTATCGAAAGTAGACTGTGTAGGTGACCAACGCTGCCTCCCTAAAATGGAATATAATCACCATATACAGTTATAAAATGTTGAGCTATTAAACTTTTACAGATAAGTATTAAATAGCATTAACTTCAAATTGTTTCCCTCACGGAAACCTAACCAAAATAAATTTCATTTTACATAAGACAATGATCAATGTACCTGAAAAACTTTACGAATACGGTCCTCCTCTTCTGTTAGTAACCTTGGTGAGATACCACCCACCTTTAAAAGGACATACAAATAAAAGACAAAAACTTTAAACCAAGGTCACTGGGGGAATCAATACAATGATTTGATGTGCTATTGTGCTGACCTGAACCATAGGAGAGCCATTATTTGTATTAAGTAGCATTCCACTCTCAGGCTCAACCTCAAACAGGCTAGCATGATTTCCCTCATGAAAAAAGCTTGGCTTTGCACTGTATCAGTTTGTTAACAAGGAAATCAGTAAGTCACATTACTGCATTCTGTAGGACACCCAAAAAATTAACTTTCCAGCTCAAGAACACAGTATGAATTGGAACACAAATATATTTTAATTTTTCTTAGAAATTAGTACAAACACAAACTGATTGATTCACAATGTATCACCATCAGAATTGTAATGTAAATATGTTTTATGGTTGGTATAAAAGAAACTGCAAATGCCATTCACTAAACAATGCAAGCACCCAACTGAATGATTGCAAAGCCTCCTAGTTTTTGTGATAGCTTGAGCATTTTTAAAAGTCCAAGGGCTCAAATTTAATAATGTTAAGGGAAAATTCACTTTAAGCAGGATGATGAATAAAAAAATAATTAACTTGCTGTAGATGCTAGGAGAAGAACATAACCTGCCAGTGATGACAACATCAAAGTATTGAAGCCAGTCAAAATTGGTACCGCCATTAATCCCAGTGGATCCACAGATGAAATTCATGACAGTGTTGGTATAGTCCCATAAACTGCAAACAATAGTAGTGTGTGTTTAAAGTATTAGTTAATTGTTAGTAGAGAAAGACACCATTGTATAATTGAGTAAATATGTCACAAGAGCTCTTTAGATTTGAAACATACATGCACAGGCCCACCCTACTTTGTATTGTATTTTAACTTTTATTGAGAAGAACAAGGGAAACAAGAATCAAACACTGGACCATGTATGGTAATAGAGGCTTTGACACCATGTCACGTATCAATTATTTCAAAAACTTAAGCTTAGTGAAGAAAGCACAGGAATAGTTTTACTTGAAAAAGGGTATTCTAATATATTATAGAATTGTAAATAATCTGTACAAAGGGTTCTCTATTTATAAAGAATATTTGACCTACTTTTAACCTAATGGGCTTGGCCCAATACAACAAAGGACTTGGCCCAATACAACAATAAATGACTAAATAAAAACTAAATAATAACTAAGTCAATATTATTTACAACACTCCCCCTCAAGCTGAGGAATAGATATTTATCATTCCCAGCTTGCTAGTAAGTTCTTGAAATCTGTCTGAAGGAAGCCCCTTTGTTAATAGATCAGCTAATTGACGCCCAGTGGGAATGTATGGAGTGGTAATCAACCCGCTATCAAGTTTCTCTTTGATAAAATGGCGGTCAACCTCAATATGTTTAGTCCGATCATGTTGAACTAGATTATGAGCTATACAAATAGCGGACTTATTATCACATAGCAGCTTCATAGGTCCCTCACATTTTATTTTGAGATCATCAAGAACAATTTTCAGCCACAGTAACTCACAAATGCCTTGAGCCATAGCTCGAAATTCAGCTTCTGCACTTGATCTGGCAACCACATCTTGTTTCTTACTTCTCCATGTCACCAAGTTACCGCAGAGAAACATGCAATAACCAGTGGTAGAACGACGGTCAGTCACGGATCCAGCATAATCAGCATCTGTGTAGACTTCTAAAGATAGATTTCCATCACGTCGGAATAACAATCCTTTACCAGAAGTACCTTTAAGATACTGAAGAATTCTCTCTACTGCCTGCATGTGTTTTTCTTTTGGATCGTGCATAAACTGACTGACAACACTAACAGCATAAGCTAGGTCTGGTCTAGTATGGGCCAGATATATCAATTTCCCAACTAGTCGTTGATATTGTCCTTTATCAACTGGAGGACTCTCTTCTTCATAGCCCATCTTGTGATTCTGCTCAATAGAAGTATTAGAGGGTTTACACCCGAGCTTTCCTGCTTCTTTGAGAAGATCAAGAACATATTTCCTCTGGCTGATAAAAATTCCTTTGCTTGAATGAGCTACTTCTATCCCTAGGAAATATCTCAGTTTCCCAAGGTCTTTGATTTCAAACTCAGAGGCAAGCCGTGTTTGCAGAATCTGTCTCTCCACAAAATCATCACCTGTGATAATAATATCATCAACATATACAAGGAGCACAGTAAGCTTCCCATTTTGGGAGTGCTTGAAGAAAAGAGTGTGATCTCCTTGGCTCTGTCTTATTGAAAAGAAGTTTTTTTATATTTTATATTGAATAAATTACATGAGTGAGTATTTATACAAGAAAGAATCGCTAAGAATGACTAAGCGATGACTAATCAATCCTATCACAATCCTAATCACAATTAATTCTAATCAATCACAATTAATTCTAATCAATCATAATCAATCCTAATCAATCATAATCAATCCTAATCAATCCTAATTAATAGGAAATAAAAACGGAAACATGTTTGAATTCTAATTTTCTACACTCCCCCTCAAGTTGGGAGGTAAATATTGATCATTCCCAACTTGCCAATCAAGTCTTCGAATGCTGGACGGTGTAGGCCCTTGGTAAGGACATCTGTCGTTTGCTCTTTGGTTGGAACATATATCAAACGCACACTTCCATCATCTAATTTTTCTTTGATGAAGTGACGATCAACTTCCACGTGCTTTGTTCGATCATGATGCACAGGATTTTGAGCAATGCTAACAGCTGCCTTGTTGTCACAATATAGTTTTATTGGTAGGGAATATGAAATCTTCAACTCTTGAAGAAGTCTTCTCAACCAGATTCCTTCACAAACTCCATGAGCTAAAGCTCGAAATTCTGCTTCAGCACTACTTCTTGCAACCACTGTTTGCTTTTTGCTTCTCCAAGTAACAAGATTTCCCCACACATAGGTGCAATAGCCTGAGGTAGATCTCCTGTCTACTGATGAGCCTGCCCAATCTGCATCAGTGTAGATTTCAATTGTCCTTTTATACCCATTTTTAAAGAATAATCCTCTTCCTGGAGTATTCTTGAGGTATCTAAGCACCCTATAGACTGCACTAAGATGCTTCTCCTTGGGTGAGTGCATGAATTGACTAATCATACTCACCGCAAAGGCAATGTCAGGACGCGTATGAGATAAGTAGATTAGTTTACCAACCAATCGCTGATATTGTTCTTTATCCACCTCATTCCTATCTTCAATACCTAACTTGGTATTAGGTTCCACAGGTGTCTCAGCAGGTTTACACCCTAACATTCCTGTTTCCAACAAAAGATCTAGAACATATTTCTTTTGTGTTAGAGTGATGCCTGTTTTGCTCCTAGCAACTTCCATACCAAGGAAATATTTGAGAGTGCCAAGGTCTTTGAGTTCAAATTGAGCTGCTAGAAATTTCTTCAAGGTGTTCAATTCCTCAATATCATCACCTGTAAGAATTATATCATCTACATATACAATAAGAATAGCAATTTTACCATCCTTAGAGTGTTTGTGGAAGAGAGTATGATCAGTCTGTGCTTGAATGAAGCCTCTTCTTTTGACTGCTTGTGTGAATTTGTCGAACCATTCTCTGGGAGACTGTTTCAATCCATATAGAGACTTTTTTAGTTTACACACTGATCCATTTCCCTTTTCAAAACCAGGTGGAGGATCCATATAGACTTCTTCATGTAAGTCACCATTTAGGAATGCATTCTTCACATCTAACTGTTGCAGAGGCCAATCTAGATTGGCAGCAAGAGATAAGAGAACTCGGATGGTATTGACTTTAGCAACCGGAGCAAAAGTCTCATGATAATCTATCCCGTGAGTCTGAGTGAAACCCTTTGCAACCAATCTTGCCTTGTATCTGTTGATGCTATTATCTGCATTGAATTTTATTGTAAACACCCATTTGCATCCTACTGCCTTTTTTCCTTTGGGTAGGGTCACTATCTCCCAAGTTCCATTTCTTTCTAAAGCATTCATTTCTTCAAAGACAGCATCCCTCCATTTTTGATCATTGAGAGCCTCATGTATATTTCTCGGTATCTTTGTACTATCCAACATAGTATTGAAAGCACGAAACCCTGGGGACAACTTTCCATATGAAATATGATTAGAAATAGGATGAGTAGTACAAGATCGAGTACCTTTTCTGAGAGCAATGGGCAAGTGTAGATCATTTTCACCATGACACTCAAGTATTGGGGTGCTGGAACTAGAACATGGTTCAGAATCCTGGCAGTGTAGAGGCTCTGGGTTATTCACACTTTGAGGAGGCTTTCGCCTGCTATAAGCTTGTCCCCATTTTGAGGAGGCTTCTGATGGTGAGGATTCTGTAGCTCCCCCTGTTTCCAAAAGTAGAGGTAATACTGTGGCATTAATAGGTTCCCATGACTGATCTTCATCTACTCCTATAGACTCCCCCTGAAGAGAAGTCGAGGGGAAGAAAGGGTCATTCTCAGAAAAAGTGACATCCATAGAGACAAAGACCTTACGAAGAAAGGGTGAATAACACTTATAGCCACGTTGAGTAGGAGAATAACCAATAAAGACACACTGGAGAGACTTAGGATCAAGCTTAGACCGTTGATGGGAGGGAATATGGACAAATACAACACAACCAAATAACTTGAGAGGTAAGGAGGAGACACCTCGGAAGGAAGGGAAGATACGAACAAGACTAGAAAGAGGAGACTGAAATTTCAGAATGCGAGATGGCATTCGATTTATCAGATACGAGGCAGTGAGAACTGCCTCTCCCCAAAGATATTTAGGAACACTCGTGGTAAACATAAGAGCACGAGCAACTTCAAGGAGATGTCGGTTTTTTCTTTCCGCAACTCCGTTTTGTTGGGGTGTGTCAGGACACGAGCTTTGGTGAAGGATGCCATGTTGGGAAAGGTATTCTCCAAGAATAGAGTTAAAATACTCTTTGCCATTATCTGTACGAAGAATTTGTATAGCAACTTGGAATTGGGTTTGAACCATGGCATGAAATTTTTTAAACACGGATGCAGCATCAGACTTATCCTTTAGAAGATACACCCAACAAACTCGAGAATGGTCATCAATGAAGGTAATGAACCATCGAGTACCTGAAATATTTTTAACACGGGCTGGACCCCATATGTCGCTATGAATTAAGGAAAATGGGGAAGAGTCATGGTGAACTTTAGAAGGATAATGAGCACGAGTATGCTTGGCAAGTTGACAAATATCACAAGAAAAAAAACTTGGACTTTTATTAATAAATAAGTTTGGCAACAACTTCTGAAGATAAATAAAATTTGGATGGCCTAGCCTACGATGCCACAACATAACATCATTACATGAATCAAAAGGAAACATAGAGTTTTTTCTACGAAAACAGCTTCATGAGTCACATCCTCCTCAAAGTAGTAAAGTCCACCATCCTCTCTAGCACTGCCAATCATCCTCTCCGAGTCCTGTTCCTGAAAAACACAACCATGTGGAAAGAATTTAGCAAAGCAATGCAACTCAGAGGTGAGCTTGCTAATGGAAATGAGATTACAAGTCAGAGAAGGAACATAAAGAACTGATGTCAAAGTAATCAGCTCAGAAAGTTTAATGGTTCCGTGTCCTGCAATCTGGGAAAAACTGTCATCGGCGATCTTGACCCGAGAAGGTTCAGAATATGGAGTGTATGAACAAAACAAGCCAAGATTACCTGTCATATGATCAGAGGCTCCAGAATCAAGGATCCAATGATTTTGACTATCAACATGGAAAGTTGTACCTTGCTGGACCACATGACTAGTGGCCTTAGGAGGTTGCTCGTGGTAATAAAAAGAGTGTTTTGAGGAAGCCATGAATAAAAAGAGAAGGGTTGACCGTTGATGAAAAATCAAGTTTTGTAAACTTTTGATCTGACCTCTGGAACAGGAAGGGGAGAAGCCGGCGAGAAGGTCTGTGCAAGTCGCGACGGAAAAAATGTCTGGAAGGCGGCGCGTGCAGCGGCTGACGGCGATGGGTCAAGCGGCGGTCGACTCGTCGGATCCTTCTGAGTCGAATGGTCACCTCACTTTTTTGATCGGAGGTCAGTAAACTAGGTTTCTGTGTTGGACAGATTCAAGGCGGTGTTTAGGAGGTGTTTGACGGTGATGGAAGTGTTTGGATGGTTATTTCAGATTTGAATTAGGGTAGGAACGAACCCGCTCTGATACCATATTGAAAAGAAGTTTTTTTTATATTTTATATTGAATAAATTACATGAGTGAGTATTTATACAAGAAAGAATCGCTAAGAATGACTAAGCGATGACTAATCAATCCTATCACAATCCTAATCACAATTAATTATAATCAATCACAATTAATTCTAATCAATCATAATCAATCCTAATCAATCATAATCAATCCTAATCAATCCTAATTAATAGGAAATAAAAACGAAAACATGTTTGAATTCTAATTTTCTACATGTCTGTATCCTAAGGTCATCATAACCTTAGTAAATCTTCCAAACCAAGCACGAGGTGACTGCTTCAATCCATACAAGGCCTTTTTTAATCTACAAACTTTATTTTCCCCCTTCACAGAATCAAAACCAGGCGGGATTTCCATGTAGACTTCTTCTTCTAACTCACCATTGAGGAAAGCATTTTTCACATCAAATTGATTTATATCCCAATTGTAATGGGCAGCAAGGGATAACAAGATTCTCACTGTATTAATCTTTGCAACTGGAGCAAAGGTTTCTTCATAATCAATGCCATAGGTTTGAGTGTAACCTTTGGCCACTAATCGAGCCTTATATCTCTCAAGAGTGCCATCAGAATTATATTTCAGGGCATAAACCCATCTGCACCCTACTGCTTTCTTTCCGTTGGGTCTATCAATAACCTCCCATGTTTTATTTTTCTCCAAAGCATTCATCTCCTCTTGCATGGCTTGAGCCCAATTCCTATCTTTCAAGGCTTCATGTACTGATTTTGGGATTGCAATAGAATCTAGTGCTGAAACAAAGCTTTTGTGCTGCACAGAAAGATTAGCAGAGGAAACAAAGTGGGAGATAGGGTATTGAGTACAAGAGGGACAGGAGGAACAAGTTTTCTTGTGACAAGATCTTTTTTCCTTTTCTAAGAGCAATAGGTAAGTCATCAGAAGTAGAAGCAATGGGTAAGTCATTAGAGATATCATAAGAAATAGACAAATCATGAGAGGAAATAATATTAGAATCAGAAACAGGAGATTCAGGAGACTCAGAAGAAATAGGAGATTCAGGACTTACCAGTGGTTCAGACGATTGAGGTTGCTGGTGAGACAGTATGGGTTGTATCTCAGGTGTATTTGAAGGTTCTGACACACCAGGAGCAGACACAGTAGGAAGAGAGAAGATTGATCCAGACTCAAAGAAGGAAGGGGACGAGTCTTCTGAAGAACTATTCTCCCCCTGACGATGAGGACCCAGGAAATAAGATTCAGATTCTTGAAAGGTGACATCCATAGAAACAAAAAATTTCCGACTTGGTGGATGATAACACTTGTACCCTTTTTTATAAGGGTTATAACCAAGGAAGACACACTTAAGAGCCCTAGGATCCAACTTACTCCGATGTTGTTTATGAACATGGACAAAGGCAACACATCCAAACACTCTTGGTAGAAGGCTCTGCAATATGGGAACAGAAGGAAAGAAGGAAGTCATGGAATGAATAGGACTGATATTGTTAAGGACCCGTGAAGGTAAACGGTTGATCAAAAAAAGTTGCAGCTAATACTGCTTCTCCCCAATAAGAACTAGGAACAGATGTCTGAAAAAGTAGTGCTCTAGCAACTTCAAGAAGGTGACGATTTTTCCTTTCAGCAACCCCGTTTTGTTGAGGGGTATCAACACATGTGAGCTCATGAATCATACCTCTGTCTGAAATGAATTGTGACAGGCGTTGATTGACGTACTCAGTACCATTATCAGATCTGAGTCTTTTAATACCCTTACCAAACTGAGTCTCAACCATGTGATGAAACCGAATAAATATCTCTGGTACTTCAGACTTGTCTTTCATCAAGTATATCCATGTTATCCGAGTACAATCGTCAATAAAAGAAACAAACCACCTAGCACCTGAAACACTGTGCACTTTAGAAGGGCCCCAAACATCAGAATGGATAAGAGAAAAAGGTTCCCTGCTTTTAATAGTGCTAGAAGGAAATGACACTCGATGGTGTTTTGCAAATTCACAAACATCACAATGAAAGGTCTCAACCGACTTATTGAGAAACAGAGAGGGGAGCATAGACTTCAAAAGACTAAATGGTGGATGCCCGAGACGCTTGTGATGGAGCCAAATCATAGACTCTGCAGTAGAAGGATGACGTGTCATTAATAACTGATTTTTGCTAGCATGGTCTGGAAGGAGATGATACAACCCATCCTGTTCATTAGCAACTCCAATTGTCTTCTTCGTGGTAAGATCTTGAATAAGACAATGAGAAGGAAAAAATGTGATAGAACAATTCAAATCAGTTGTAAGTTTTTGAGTGGAGATAAGATTAGTAGAAAGCTGAGGAACATAAAGAACATTTTTAAGAAACAAGGAAGGTTGAATTTGAATGTTACCAGAACCAATAACTGATTTATGGGATCCATCAGCTACGGATATAGTATGACTACCAACAGTAGGATGATAAGAACAAAACAACTCAGTACGACAAGTCATATGATCAGTTGCACCAGAATCCAAAATCCATGAGGTTTTAAAATCAATGCAAGAAGCAAGAAGAGATATAGAACGTGTGCTCTTACCAGATAAGATCGAAGAACTATCATGCTCAGCCATTCTTTAACAAAAAAAGTTAACAACCAGCGATAAAATCAACCAAACAGAGTATCAAATGACCTCTGATCAGAAAAATAATTACAGATCCAGACAGAAGACAAGAAGACGAGAAGAATGGTGGTGGTCCGGTCCAAAAACACGGCCGCACGCGCCTCCACGCGCCGGAGAAAGGAGCTGCGCGTGGGATTCACTCGCCGGGAAAGGGGCGGCGCGTGAGAGCGCGTGGATGGGCTTCACCGGCTGAGATTTTTCTGGTGTGGTCGTCCGGCGAGCGCGCACCTGTCTGTGGGTGGTCGCGGTTGAAAAGTCGCCGGAAAGTGGTCCAAACGGTGAAGACAGATCTGATTGGAGGCGATCGGAGGTGTTTCGGTCGTTTGTGGCGGAGGAACACTGCGTAGAATGATAGATCGGAGGAAAATAAGGTCAACAATGGTCCCCTTGGTCCAAAAGGTCCCCAGAAAAATTTTCCGGTGGCGGCTAATGGCGGCAAGAGGCAAAGAAATTATGGGGCGTTTGGTACGCGGCATTTGGCCGGATTCCCGGGAAACTGAATTTTTCTAAATTTTAAATTTTCGAATATTATCGTAAACTGAATGTAAAAATCATATTTTTGAAAATTGAGATTCCCGGACAAATAAAAATTTCTCCTGTACCAAACGCCCCTTAGGGTTTTGTTAAAAAAGAAGATAATATGTGCGGAAGCAAAGCCCTCAGATCTAGAGCTCTGATACCAACTTGAAAAAGGGTATTCTAATATATTATAGAATTGTAAATAATCTGTACAAAGGGTTCTCTATTTATAAAGAATATTTGACCTACTTTTAACCTAATAGGCTTGGCCCAATACAACAAAGGGCTTGGCCCAATACAACAATAAATGACTAAATAAAAACTAAATAATAACTAAATCAATATTATTTACAACAGTTTTTAACACCTCTTTCACTTTTATAATTTTGCAATATTTGAACATTGAAATATTAAATAACATATAAATGTTACAAATTCTTATTTGTAAAGAAATGACACTGTGTTTCTCATATAAAAATAATGTAAAATTGTTTTGTAAACAAGTTTACACATTTATTAAAAGATGGTTAGAAGTCTTGCTAATAACATTTTATTGTACAACTGTATAGGAAATTCATCACTACCTGTTCGTAACCAAAAAAACAGCGCGTCCAGAATCTCTGAGCATTTTGAGCATGGGAACTATCAAGGTGTCTTCATTGATATACCTATTATTTTAAGTTTAAAAAGAAAAATGACCAAGTCAGAATAATTTCCTTAGGAACCCAGAGACAATCTGTAAAATTTAAGAAATATTCATTTCAATAACTACGATCTCTAAGATAACACAAAAATAGTTTGTTACTATGATGTGCTAGCGATTTTACATTACCTTTTGGGATCTTTTGCTACCTTTTGCTTCAATGTTCCATCTCGGTGGCACAAATCTATTGCATTTCGAACATCTTTGTAAAGTCGAGCATAACTGGAAAGACAACTCATAAACAATATTATTGAATGCCCTATTTTATACTATCTATGATTTTCCAACATTTGGAGAAAAAAGAAAAAGTTATGGCCAGTGCCCACTACGCATTTATTTCACCTGCCTAATATTCGTATGGCAATGTAGTCCCTAGTTATTTACTGTCCTGTACTATTGTACAAAAGGGTTTAGCAGCAGCCAACCATAACCTTTTAATGCCATATAAGGATGTTGAAGCCAACGTTTGTGATAGTGATCTAGACATGTACGCATGGAGCGTGCAAGGATCTACGCTCATTTTATTTGCATCATAAAATACTTTTTAAGAGGCCAATCAAGCTTGCCTCCCATTTTAAGGAATAAAACCAACAATTACTAGTCCAAGCATGCAATTGATCTTCAAAAATGCTTAAAATAAGACTTACTCAACACTCTCTGGAATCTTTCCAGGATTTCTGTCCTTAAAATCAACCAGTTGAGCAAACAAGTAGGCTTCCGCAAGTGAAAAGAGGGTATCGATTAGAGCATAATCTGGCCCATCAAAAGAATCGAACACTAAAGTATTTCCATAGATCCCAACTTTATCTTCTTTTGATAACTCCTTAAATCCATGATAGGCTACTTTGACATACTTGTGCCGATCCATCTAAAATCATGAAGTGATAAAACCAGCAATAACAATTAAAAAGAGAAATTTTTCTAAAAAAGAAAAAAGAAATTGTTCTCCATGCAATCTTCCTATATATTCTTTTACCCAGTAAAAAGTAGAGGGTATAAAACATTTTTTTCAATCTTAACCTTCAAGATGTTGCCTCTCTTTTTGTCAAGAACCAAGCCCCTAACCATGTAATTGGAGTCAAATGACCAACTCAGTAACTGCAGAAAAAAAAGTTCTTTTAGCCAAAATACTTCGTGATGTATCATTGGATTATACCTACAAAGAAAATGGTAATAAAATAAATCCTTAAGATTAAAGAATATTACCTTGTGAGAAGGAGTTGATGGATACAAAGTGAACCAAAAAAATTTGAGTACGTTAATTAAAATAAAAAATCATACACCAGTTCTACCATCATTGACACCAACAAACAGAAGAAAAAAATAATTAAAATCATAAACTGGACAAACCTCGTTAGGGTATTTCAAATCATAAACCAGCTTTTCAATTGTGTGTTCATAAGCAAGAGATTCAAAAGTTTCAGGAATGTATTGTGCCAAAGTATAGTCCATGTCAAACCCCACAGCAACAATGTTCTTCATATTTAGTGGCCGGTTACAAAAGATCTGCTTGCCTATATCAGTTTTTTGTCCAGGAGATGATGACCATTCTTGTGGCTGTTTGACACTCTCACTGCCAGGAAAATCCACTGAGCTTTGGTCATGTACAGCAATTTCATGCATCTTATCCATGGAAAATTGAGTACGCAACCAATTGGATCCTGATAGATTTTTTCAATGACAAAATGAAAATCTATTAGTGACAAAACGAAAACGACTAATAATTTTATTCCGGTAATAATTAGAAAAGACTTTGATACAAAACGAAAATAACAAATAATTGTATTCCAGTAATAATTAGGAAATTTGGTACATATAACAACATACCAATGTATTAATGCAAGTTAAGTTCTATATACAGAAAATATATATCGAATTCCTAAACTTTCTCCAAACGGCACGATAACAGCAAATTTGTCCAAAATCAACATAGAAACATGCATTTACTTCCTGGTTTTCTCAACATTGAACATGTTTAGCCAAGAGTAACCCCATTGTAGTATAAATATTCAGACAAGAAGGGGACAACTTGCAGTTTTCATTGTAATAGCAGAAAAAGAAAGCGGAAAACGTTCAAGAAAAAAAAAACAACAACAATAAACCCTGCTTTTAGCTATATTCATGACACATTGCCTTGATTAATCATGGAAGCACTATTGCACGTTTTCACCATAAGGTGAAACAGATATTTGATCTAATAGCAGAAAAACAAAGTAAAAAAAAAAATTAAATTAAATTAAATAAGAAAAAAAAATTGTAGCAACAACAAACTCTGCCTTGAACAAGATTCTTGACACCTTGTCATAATTAATCATGAAAGCACTATTGCACTATTTCACGATAAAATGAGACATATTTGATCTAACAGCAGAAAAAGAAAGCAAAAACAAAAACAAAAAATCAAGAGAAAAAATGAGTAGAGTAACAATAAACCAAGCCTTTAACAAAATTCTCGTCACGCTGCCTTGGATGTGAAAGAATTATAAGGCACAGTGCACCAGGCTATGTTCAGACTCAGAATTTTCCCCAGCCTAGATTCCAACAAACACCTAAAAATTCAACTTCTCAATCGAAGTAATCATCCAAGTTCCTACTATACAATGTGTATAACTCACTGCATATAATTAACTCTACAGCAAATCAAGCATGAACAAATCACTTGCATGAAGGATTAACACAACAAGGATTAACAAGAGAATCTGAAAACCTTAAGGAACAAGTAAAGCAGGAAAAGAGGGAAATTAAACCGAACGAACCTGCGGAAGCAGAGTGAGAAAGTGCGAGAAAGGCGAGAGAGCGAGGAGGAATGGCCAAGATTCCAGAAGCGAAGCAAATGTGAGAAGAGGAAAGAGATGGTGGAAGATAAGAAGAGAAGCTGCTAGTCGAAGAAAATGAAACGAAACGGTTTGAACTTCGCATCATGCAAAGCAAGCATTAAATAATGCTCTTACAAGATAGAGAGAGAGAGAGAGAGAGAGAGAGATTAGGATGATGCTACAAAAGAAGCGTTATGTTTGACTTGGATGCTTTACAACTTAGCAATGCAGCTTCATAATAAGCGCTTAATTGGAAGGTAGTAGCATAGTGGGAGCTAACAAATCAAACAGCTATTTTTTATTTTTATTTATTTTTTTACTACTTAATATTGTGTAATATTTTGATTCCTTTTGAAGGATAAGCATAAACTACAAGGCACAATGGAAGAAAGAAGAAAAAACGAAGCAAGGGTTTTGCAATTGGATTGGGAGGTTGTTTGTTTGGGTTGCGTGGGAAATGTGAAACGTTGGTGGAAACATGAAAATAAAAGAAGCTAAAGAGAGTGGAGTGAGGAATATGAGGGGAGCAGTGCCACGTGGAAAAGAGCGAGGGTTCTGCGCTGGGTGCTTTTTGCCTTTTAGTGCTGATTTTCTTGCATGGATAAGTTGCGCAGAGTCATACGCTTCAGTTTCTCATCCTCTCTTGTTCTTCTTCTGTCAACAATTTAGAAATATTGTCTCATATGAGTTAGAAGAAATTAAGCATGGGCCAAACAACCCTGTATAGCGCTCACTCTTCTCGTGATTACGTGAATCTAATTTCTTATCAAGTTGGATCCCATTCAAGGTAACCTTTTATTAATTGTTGTGATTTAGTTGCTTTTTATAATAAATGATACTACGTCGGTCATAATTAATGTTATATATTTTAAAGACTAATTTAACTAAACTATTTAAAATACGTAATATAAGTTACAATGTCATTGACTAATTTTCTTTTTAAATTTTGTATTAAGAACGGAATTGAATAAAGATTAAATATCTTAATATGATTTTCAAAAGGTGAGATCATCATACCATTATTATAAACATATTTATATAGAAAGAGTATTATATTTTGCCAAAAATAAATATTACAATAAGAGTTCAGTGTTTCTCCAATCAACATAAATTATCTCCTACAATTTTAAAATAATATTATTTTGAATTGTAAACAAAATATAGAGCATTTTGGGAAAATTTATATTATAAAAAAAAATAGATAAGTACTTTAAGTGTTTCTTTTGCATAAAAATTATGGGTTTAATGTTTCTCATGTTACAAGAGATAAAATCATATTTTATACACACATATTTTTATGTGTATATAGAAGATAATTTTATCTCTCACACCGTGAGAGGCATTAAACACAAATATTATACCTAAATAATTTTTTTTTAAATTAATGGAATTAGATCTTTTATTTAAGGCATTAATATTTCTACAATGAATGTAAATAAGTTATTTATATCACTCCCAAAACAACGTCGTTTTGAGTAAAAAGATTAAAAAATTATAATTATAAAGACTATTATAACATTGGAATAGATTGTAATTATAAAAATATATTAATTTCCGTCCCAAAATGATATATTTTGGGCTAAATAACTTATCTACGTTTATTGCAGAAAAAATGAACCATTTATTTAATTAGTAAAATATTTAAATATGGTTATAGGACATTCAGAGCTACATGGGTTATCATACATGCAATCACTGCTACATGTTTAACATATACCTTTACGGGAAAAGTTATATTTACAAACTTTTTGTTTACAAACTCTTATGAATTACACTATGTCTGACCGGTCATCTAAAGTCTGACCAGTCATACTTAGTATAGTTTGTAAGAAGAAAAAAATTTGTAAATATAATCTTCCTCTACCTTTACAATTAACTAGTTTACGGACACAACGCCAATTCGATAAAACAAAGCTCAACGAAAAATCAGTATATAAGTTTGATTCAAAACTTGGTTAATTGTCTCAGTAAGATTGTTTTTATTAACTATTATAGGGTGCGACGTTTGCTTTCAATTTTTTTCTCTCTCTCGCTAATTATAATGTAACGGGTATACTGGTGCAGTAAGAGGAAGACATGGACGAGAAGAAAATGGGTAACTATATGTGTCCAAAATTGGTTGCAGTGGTTTGATGCTTAAGACAAATTTGACAATCAAATTGTGGCGTATATTATAAATTTTCAATTTTCATATGGAACAATTTCATGTGCGAAGTAGGAAATGGCGGAAATGCACGGCATGTGTGACACTTGCAATAAGTTTTAAAAAATTATCATTTTTCTAAAAAAAGTTATAAAGTCTTTTAAAATAGTACACATATTTTGAAGTAAATATCATTGCAATTTTAAGGTATTTGTAAAGTGATGGGTTATGTTTACCACCATTTTTTTCTTATCACATTAATTTTATTACCAATTTTTTTTATTACCAATTTTGTTATCGTTGGATCAAAATCAAATCAAAAATCCCACACTACCTTGCAATTGAATCGTAACATCTCACCATGCTCCGCAACCCTCGCGCTAATGCAGTCTGGCTTTGCACCTTTACCAATCATGGGTGAACACTGCAATGACAACATCACCAGTCGCGTCGCTTGATTGCAACTGGAAGACATAATGAAAGGCTCTGATATCAATTGATATCATTGATTTGATTTTGATCCAATAATAACCAAATTGGCGATAAATGGTGGCAAAAAAAAGATAGTAAGTATAGCATCCCCCATTTGTAAAATTTTAACTTAACTTTATTTAAAAGTGTTGTAAATTAATGCATATTACTAAAAGCCTCTTGAATGGCGCGAATCGCATGATATCCAATCAATTGTTTTGAACAAGATTCCGCTCCAGCAAATAAGATCTGCTCTCGATGTAAGAGATTTGTTGTAATATCGGGAAACAAGACGCCAGTCAATGCATAATAGCATCCTTGGCAGAACCAAAGGAGGAAATGAGACATGTAACAATCAGGGGACCAAAGGAGGAATTGCATAAAACCTTGAATAGAGGTAGTTGTTATCTCATCCCTTTTAAAAGGAAGAAATCTCATGAAGGTTAAATGGCGAGACCATCCAAACTATAAATTTTTTCACAAATTGGCGCAAGGACAAAACATTCCAGTAGGTTAAAAGGGAACCTTGCATCCCTCGATCGCCAAACAAAGCATCATGAGCATTAAATGATGCCTATAATACATAAAGATCTGCAATCCAGGAGCGTCATGATCATTAAATCCAAACAATGTGTGCCCTCTTTAGTAAAAAGACAGAAAGTGCGTGATCAAAATACTCTAAGGATGAAACTCTAGACGTAAACTCCAAGAAAGAAGCACACTCGGGAAAAAAAAACCTTTGTGAAGACCATTCTTCAAAGTTAAGACTTAAACCGTAAGTGTTATTTCTTCAAAGCCAAGGATTAAACCCCACACCCCACCTGCACTTCTTAATGCGAAGGTTTAATCCTCGTGCATTATTTCTTCAAAATTGAAGTCTAAACCTCATGCGTTTATTCTCCAAAGATGAGGCTTTAATCCTCGGTTGCACCTTTTCAAACCAAGGCTTAAACCACATGTGTTATTTTTTCAAAGTCAAGGGCTTATACCTCAAGCATTATCTCTTTGAAAGGTATCAAAGATCAAGAAGATAAAGAATAGAGCGAAGAGGGAAAAAATAGAACAGAGAGAGAGAGAGATTCTGGAAAATGTAAATCTTGATTAATTAATTGTGAGTCTGTGATACAATTTATATACAATAGATATTGCTAGCTAACAGATACTAGTTTGTTAGGATACTAACTAACTTAATTATCTAACTG